TGCGTAAAGTTCATAGCGCAGGGCGCAAAAGCATTAAGGGCGTGTCAGAATCCACTTTTGCTATTTTAAGGACGGAAAAATCCACTTTGTGCCGTGGCGCATGGTCTAACAGGGTTGAGCTTATTCTTTTAATGAGTTATATAGGTGTGTTTTGAGATTAAACCAATCAGAGTCTCAACTCCCATTCCCTTTAAGAGCCAGTTGCGCCGCGGCATAGCGCATTTGCTATTTACATGACGGACTACGTAAGTGGAAAAACAGAATGCTTTACTAGTAAGAAAACTTTTAAACAGAGCATCTACAGCGCGAGAATGGGAGATGAGCCTCCTCATTATCTACTTTCACTTTTGCTCTCATGGATATGAAAACGTGACTCACAGACATCCATTAGCCTATAAATAATTAATTTTGATTGTTAAGTGCAAAGATTTGTTACAAAACTATTTCTAAATTCAGTTCTAATTTCCAGCAAACTAATAAATGAACAATAATAACGAAGTGTGTTGAAAACACTGAGTTATATCCAAATACACATGCTGCACCCCATGTGGTCTAAAACATGACAGGTGGACAAATCTAAGCTTGTTTTTAATAAAACATATATAAATATGCATTTAATAAATAATACTGCTAATAATAAACATTATACTAAAGCAAATTGTTATGAATAAACGGAAAAAGCCCCTGGGATGAAGAAGGCATGGAGGCAGTGGTTTTTATATTTATGTAGGCTAGAAAATAATAATATTTGTAATACTTTATTGCTTTAAATCTTTTTTGTTTGTAAAGATATTTGCGTATTGCTGTACATCCTGTGTGTATTAAGCAGTGTGTACACGAGGCGCACAAATAACAAGTTCTGCACTGGACTTTAGACCTCCTCTCAGCTGGTCTTTTGAACAGTCTATTCTAGTTCCTCAAAATAGCAACCCGCCCGCAGTGCTCCTCAACACGCTTCCTTTTTAGACCAGAATGCCTATGGGCGCACAAATTCAAAACAATTCTTGCGCCGAGCTGAAACTAGCAAACAACAATTACGTCACACCTTGCGCCGCTTGTATGATAGGCCCCAGTGTCTTGCGTTAGTGAAACATCTGTGAACCATTCATTCATTTTCTTGTCGGCTTAGTCCCTTTATTAATCCGGGGTCGCCACAGCGGAATGAACCGCCAACTTATCCAGCAAGTTTTTTACGCAGCGGATGCCCTTCCAGCCGCAACCCATCTCTGGGAAACATCCACACACACACACACTCATACACTACAGACAATTTAGCCTACCCAATTCCCAATTTAGCCTACCCAATCCACCCAATTACCGCATTGCTGTGAGGCGACAGCACTACCTACTGCGCCACTGCCTCTCACTATCTGTGAACCAGTTCAATTTTTAAATGTTTTAAAATAAGCTTATCTTGCTCACCAAGGCTGCATTTATTTAATCAAAAAAACAGAACAACTGATCAAATTGTGAAATATTATTGCAGTATAAAACAACTGTACAAAAATAATTGATAATTTACTTAATAATTTATTCCAGTGATTTTAAAGATTTTTCAGCTTCATTACTCAAGTCTTCAGAGTCAGAGTTAAATCCCTTTAATATTAATTATTATTATTACTATTATTACTAATGGTAAAAGTAATAAAAGCAAAAATGACAGAAGTAATTATTTTATTTGAAACTACATACAATAAGAAAGCATTTATTTAAAATTTTTATAAATATTTAACTTTTTTTTATTTAACAAAAGCCGCCTTGATGAACAGAATAATTTTCTTTAAAAAAAAAACAAAAAAAAAAAAACAATAGTGTATATTATTTTTACTATATAATACATATAAGACAAAATTCAAGTTTTGTTTTGTGATAGGGAGATTTAAACAAAAAAATGTACAGTTATATTTGTTAAAAAGCGCAAGGTGACGCAGTAGGTCGTGGTGTTACCTCATAGCAAGAAGGTCACTGGTTCAAGCCTCGGTTGGGTCAGTTGGCATTTCTGTGTGGAGTTTGCATGTTCTCCCCGAGTTCACGTGGGTTTCCTTCGGGTGCTCTGATTTCCCCTACAAGTCCAAAGACATGCGAGACAGGTGAATTGGGTAAAATTATCCGTAGTGTATGTGTGTGAATGAGAGTGTATGGATGTTTCTGCTGTGGTGACCCATGATTAATAAAGGGACTAGGCCTGAAAGAAAATGAATAAATGAATATTTGTGTAAAAAAAATTACATTGAAAAAATGAAAACGTTAAAAAAAAATGTTATTAAAGAATATCCTGTTTAAATGAGAAAACATTGTATATGTCAGTTTGGTTGACTTGACTGCTTTTTCTTTTTCTTAGAAATCCCTCTCTTCCACGTGTTGAACGCTCGAGTGACATTCAGCAATCTTTGTGGCTGCGATGAACCTGTCAGTTCTGTTACTGTGCAATCTCCACAAGGAGCAACAGAGGCTGGTATGAATATCATCTGAACATCTTCTTCCTGTGAAACTCGATTTCTACTTTCGCTTACTGCATGCAAACCTTCACAAACAGATGAGGGTTTTATACTCTTTATACTTTTATATACACTCATTGTACTATTATAAACTGAATAGGTTGTGTATATGTGAAAATCTTTCCTTTGTAAACAATTCACCAAACCAAAACTACAAAGCAATCGAAGTATCACAAAGTAGCCAATAACAAAAATATCCTTTTATTAATTGCGATGTGAGAGTAAAATATATGGAAACTGAATAACAATATCATATTTTTAATAAACATTTTCATTTAATTAGCATTATTTCAGTCAGGATCGCTTTCATCAAATATAAATAGTTATATAAAGCATGCAGTTAATGTTGGCAGGATGGTTCTGTTCTGGGAAAAACTCTGCATGGATGGACACAATGGGGGAGCAGCAGCAAGTAAACGCCCCGTAGGTTAATAGAACCCAAAAGCGTTCATAAGCAGTTTATGCTTGTTATGAATTCAAGTAAATGCCAAAGACATGAGGCGGATTACCATATTCTTGGCTAATACTATGAACAGATATAAGAAATGATCTAGGGGGAGTTGGGGATAATGGAGGCGGTGAAAAATTAGCAAGCAGCCGGAAGCCAAAGAGAGACCGGCTCTTAGATTTAAGTATTCTGCTGTTACAGATGTCAGAATGGGATTGGTACATGTCATAAACAGCTGACTGTCTGCTGACTAAACTAATGCTATGTTCCATATTAAGCATGGACATTCACCTTCATTAAATATGCTTGTTTCTACTATTGTAGGCTCATTTTCTAAATGTAGGCAATTAATTTATGTATCTTAAGGTATAAAATAATATGTTTGTACTTCAAATAATCCATTTTACATGGTGAAAGCTAAGTGAGAGGTTTGAATTTTTGCTTAAATTTTTTATTCTTCATAAAATAAAAACATTACTTTTGATATTTCATGATAATAAGTTTTGAATACTTTAGTTGATCCATAAATATGATTCCTGCTGGAGTTCCTAGGATATAATGAAGACAAAGCTCCCATCATTTTACTCTGTCACTGTGTCGTCAAAACACACCTTTGTTTGTTGTGAATATGCTCCCTCTAGTGGCGAAACTGACATTTTATGTCTTTAACTGAGGCGTTTTTCCCCCCTCACCTCACTGTTTTCAGGTGAGACTCCTCCACCACTGCAGTGTGAAGTGGACCCATCGGTGTTTGAGCCTCCTCCAGAATACACTACACTTGGACCGGGCCGCAGTGAGCCAATGAGAGACGAGGATGATAATTTACTCCAGTTTGCCATTCAACAGAGCCTGCTGGATGCCGGAACAGAGAGTGACCAGGTATTCACACATATACACTGATGCATATTGAGCACCCAATACTCCATCAACTTTATTGATTTGTCAAGTTCTGTTCTGATTAGCTGGTATTATAAATCTTCAGAAAGTCATTGGATGTTTTAAGAATCTAAATTGTTTCTCCATGGTGTTGGGTTTCTATAGAAATTGATTTATTTATTTTCGAGCTTACATGAAATCTTCAGTTAAAATTGTAAAAATGTATGTAGAAGAAAGATAGTCTGAATTTTCAGAAAAACTACCCTATAAAAGTAAGCTTTACGTCTTTAAAAAACACTCAGGGGTTTCTAATGTATTCAAATGTCAGAGGTAATCATAAACATGACATTAACACATGCATGATACAAACCACAGCACAGAAGCAATAGAGGCTACCTGTGGACTAGGGTTCTTGAGCTGCTACTGACTATTTAAATATAGTGGGTTTGCTGTCTCGTGTCGCAAATCTACTTCTTGTGGTGACAATTCTCTAAGATCAATCGGTGATCAACAGTGTGTAGTAACAGTTTGGCTCGCTTGGAACCCAGGGGCGAGGCCAGAAATTTTAAAGAGGGAGAACCTTGGTGAAATAGGGTGGACCTCAGCCCCGACTCTTTAAACTAAGTGTATAATAACAACTTTCTTATATCTGTCAATTCTGATAATATAGTAATTGATTTAATGAGGTATGAGCTGATATGTTTGAGTACATATATATTAGCTAGCTGGAGCAATTGTTTATTTAAAATAGATTGTATAATCTCAAAATGTGAGGTAAAACATAATACGAAATTACATTGCATGAAGCACACTTGCTAAAAACAGTTGATAGAACAAAATGGCTAATTGATTCTCTGCCCATAGATGGCGCTTACAGATCAGTAATAATTCCATCATGAACACCGAGCTGTTCTGCAGGAGTTGATTTACATGCATACGGTGTATACGGCCATGGAAAACCTGGAAAAGTCTTGCAATTGTGACATTTTCCAGGCCTGGAGAAGTTTTGGAAAAACAGAAAAACCCACAAAGTTTTGGAAAAGTCATGGAAAACATATCTGTATTCTTGAATATAGGTTGAATATAGCTTATTTTTGTCCTTGGCTAATCACATACTCTCACATTATTAGTGCGGTGTAAGCATAATCTAAATCAGTTTAACATGGGTATAAATATAAACTGAAACTAAATAGATTGCTGCATGTTTTACGATGTGCTGTAATAAATTTGAAGATGCATTGTTTTTCTTTTACCACGCATATAATACATTGCATGAAACATTAGGTCATGAAAATCATGGAAAAGTCATGGAATTTTAGAAGTAAAAATATGTATGAACCCTGTACATGGCAAATGCAACAACGTAATCCACACAATAATGTGAAATCAGCTGAAGCACAAGTATAGTGAATTAACCCTGTTTATATAGATAAGGTTTAGAGATTTAATAACTGTAAGATCATCAACACCTTGTAAATATTTTCAGATACAATTTTCAGATAAACAACTTAAACGCGATCATAAAAGCCTATTATCTTCTTTTATTACGTGTAGTTGTGAATCTCTAGTCAATACTAAACAATTATCACACATTAACTTTTGGTCATTCTCTCAACTGTTTTGTACCCACTGCCTCATTCCTCTTTCTTGTTCCTTGCTTTTCTGTAGGTGACTATATGGGAGGCTCTCACTAACACTCGCCCAGTTTCTCAGCCTCCGCTTTACGAGGAAGACTCTCAGCTGGAGAGGTGTGTGTGAGTATTTATGTATAATCCTGGTATTCACTACATTACGAGGACCAATTGTCTACAAAAGTATCAATACCAGTCATTTTTTGCTATTGTAGGGACATTTTATGAGGAAAACGACTCTTAAATCATACAAAATCAAGTATTTTGAAAATGTGAAACTGTTTTCTGTGAGGTTTGGGGCAAGGGGGCTGAATGTGCAGTCTGTACAGACTGAAATGATTACATGAATAGAAAGTCCCTCAACATATGTGGTGACTTTAGAAGGTCGAGTCCTGGCTTGGCCGGTTGGCATTTCTGTGTGGAGTTTGCATGTTCTCACCGTGTTTACGTGGGTTTCCTCCAGGTGCATGCACTGTAGGTAAATTGGATGAACAAATTTGACCGAAGAATATAAGTGTATGTGTGAGAAGAAGTGTATGGGTGTTTCTTAATACTGGATTGCGGCTGAAAAGGCATCCGCTGTGTAAAACAGATAACTATATTAACTCTTCTCCCAATTCATTGGCATCAATGTCATTGCTTAACACTTGCTTAACTGAAATTAAAGCTTGGATGCAACATAATTATCTTAAAGTGAATAGTTCAAAAACAGAGATTTTATTGGTTGGCACTCCTTCTAACGTCGAGAGGTGTAGTGAATTTGAGTTAATTGATGGGTCTGTCTTATCACCATCTCCGCAGTTGCGTAATCTTGGTGTTCTCCTGGACTCCTAGCTTAGTCTGAAGCCTCATTTTAAACATGTAACTAAAACAGCCTTTTATCATCTTCGTAATATAGCCCGCTTACGTCCTTTCCTCTCGAGGCCTGATGCTGAAAGGCTCGTCCATGCTTTTATCATGTCTTGCTTGGATTTTTGCTATTCTCTGCTTGGAGGGTTCCCAGCAAATTCTCTTAAGATTTTGCAATACATCCAAAATTCTGCTGCACGTGCGTTGACACATACATCGTCTCGGTCGCACATCACTCCCATACTCCAACAGCTTCACTGGCTGCCCGTCAAGTCTCGTATTGATTTTAAGACATTGATTTTAACATATTAAGCGGTTCATGGTTCTGCTCCAGGTTATATTTGTGATCTGATATCCATTTCTTCTGCCTCTCGCTGTCTACGCTTTGCCTCGGGTCCTACACTGTTTTTGGTCTTAATGGAGTCTTTGGTCTTTTTCAATCAATGAATACGAACATTTGATTTACATGAATGCTAAATAAAGTAATCAGTTTGATGTTCGCATTCATATCAGCAGCTTTAAATCAGACTAGATTTTCTGATATGTGCAACCTGACTTCGCTTGTATAGAGTAAGTCGCTTTTAAAAGATCTGCAAATACTAGCCAGTCCTCCTTCTGTTTTGACTTTGACTTGATATTTATGTATTTGGGGGGACGACAGGCTTTGTGCTGCGGCCTGAATTTATGAAGCTGTAAAACATTCCTCGTCCCCCAAACAAAACAAGACGTCTGTAGATGAATGTCTGAAGCAACAATGTCTTGCTGCACTTCTCTGACATTTAAATCCTAATAAATCTAATACAGTTTCCCAGTGCTGGGTTGTGGCTGGAAGGGCATTGTAAAGCTGCGTAAAACTTATGCTGGATAAGTTGGCGGTTCATTCCACTGTGGCGACCCCTGATTAATAAAGGGACTAAGCCGAAAAGAAATTAAACTAATACAATTACACCGACACCACAGAATCAGTTATTGAAGCTAATTACCAATACAAATTCAAAGTAGAGCAATTTTCTGATAGTTCCTTTGTAAAATAAACACCAAGCAACTAGTAAAAGCTTTTACAGACATGTATGAAATAATAAAGGCAGCTGGTTATAATGCGTATGGTCGGGTTTGACCCTTTTGAAATTATAAAAACATCCAACAAAACATTTTTACACAGCTGAAAATATTGGAGCTCTTCCAAAATATGCACAGCTGTGACTGCATGAGAAACATTCTATGGAGCAGCGAGTTTTTCCTAACAGTGAAATGCTTTGGTTGATTCAGAATATCTGCAATAACTGGTTTCACATGTTTTTTTCTCCAGATGTTTTTTTGGCATAATGTATAGAAATACTAAATTCTCCTTGTTTTCACTTTGCTGTGTTGATGTAGTAACAGCAGTCTGTGTGGTATTTGTCCTGCCCCTCCTCCGCTGTGATTGGATGTCTAGTTCAAAAGTGACATTGACGAGTGCTTTTTCACGCCTTCTTCACTATATTACAATTGAATAATAATCTAATAACATTAAAGCATATCATTAGTACATGACTCCTTAGTACATCATCTAAGACTCCTTAAGATATATTTCACCACCATTTTTTGGCACTCAAGTAATAGATTAAAACACATTTAATGTCCACTGTCCAACCTGTGGTAGTGTTTGCACTTACATATTCATTCATTCAATCATTCATTTTGCTTCGTCTTTGTCTCTCTATTCATCAGCGGTCGCCACAGCAGAATGAATCACCAACTTATCCAGCATATGTTTTACACAGCGGATGCCCTTCCAGCTGCAACCCAGTACTGGAAAACATCCATACACACTCATTCACAGAGATACACTACGGCCAATTTATTCACTTATATTTGTATAGCGCTTTTACAATGTAGATGGTGTCAAAGCAGCAATTTAGTTTATTATACACTTGGAGGAAACCCACACAAGCACAGGGAGAACATGCAAACTCCACACAGAAATGCCAACTGACCCAGCCGGGGCTTGAACCAGCAACCTTCTTGCTGTGTGACGACAGTGCTAACCACTAAGCAACCGAGTCACCCTACATAATAAGTGAATTTTATTCATAAACAAATTTCGAGAGGATCACGTGCTTATGATTGTTCACAGCTGTTCCAACTTTAGCTAATGACTGATTATCCTATCAGTTGATCCTTAACTCACTATAAATAACCAGACTTGTCTTATCTCAATATCTTCGTCTTGAAGAAACCCCCCCACCCAACCCTACTTTCAAACGGGCGTCACGGTGGCCAGCGATTAGCGCTGTTGCCTCACAGCAAGAATGCCCCTGGTTTAACTCCTTTCCAAACCAGATGGCATTTCTTTGCGGAGTTTGCTCGTTCTCTCCGTGGTCGCGTTGGTTTTCCCCGGGTCCTCCGGTTTCCTCCCACAGTTCAAAAACAAGCACTCTAAACAATTAATCAAAATACATTAGATAAACTCTGAGTACAACTTTCAGCATACATATCCGACACTTAGCTACAACAAGCAAGAAGGGGAGTCATCGAGATCTACCTGAGCTCAAACTCCCCTCTCGCCTTGCAATGGGAGGGAGCCCAGGGCTCGAGGATCTTTTTTTTTTCCAATTCCTTTTTATTATATTTTAAGTAACATGTACATACACATTTCCATGTGTCAATTCCAACACAAACCAACAAATGAACAAACAAACCAAAAACAAAACAAAAGGCTTCTTAGTATTTTACATCAAAATACAACATCACCTCTATTACTAATCTTCTAGTAAAACATTTCCAAATCCACCACCTTTTAAAAACAGTGTAAAAGGTCCCTAAATTCTATCAAAAATTATATATCTATTTCTTATCATACAAGTTATTTTTTCCATTTTCATATTTGTCACCATCTCTTTCAGCCAACAACCTATAGTTGGTGCACATATACTTTTCCAATTTAAAGAAATAAGCCGTTTCGCTTGTAGAATATATATATTCAAAAACATTTGCTCCATCTTTTTTAACTTGATGGGCTCGAGGATCTTATAAGCTCAGGGCTCTCTTCCGGGACAGCACGCCAAACTAGCTTTACTATCAATTATCAGCTAAGTGTAAACTCTTGAAATATTATAGGGTAAACATAAAGAAGACAAAGTTTCCATATTTGGTCACAGATTTTTTATTGTATTACTGAGCATTAAATATTGAGGTATTTATCAATTTGAGGCAACTTATTAGAGACTGAGCATTACTTTAATCTAAAATCATGGTAGAAACTGGTAGAAACCACATTTAATAATACTAAAAAAAGTTCAAACGATTACATCCATGTAATATTTTAAGAAAAAAAATGTATGAAAGTGTTTGAAATATTAAAAAAAACAAAGAATTCTTGGACTGTGATGCAGCACAAATATAACACATCCTGGGTTTTGAGCAGCACATCAAGTACAATGCGATCCGGTAGGTGGAATAAAATCTATGTTGATCCTGGAACATCATTTTTGTTGGAAAATGTAATCCATACCTATTCCCTACCCCTAAACCCAACCATAACCGTAAATTATTCCCAAAATCAGAGGGGAATAATAGTAGGATAACAATCATGCTGAAATACATAAACCTAACTGTAAGTAAACCTAAGCTTTGAGCATTTTGGTTTAGAACAACACTTCAGTGCCGGCCATGACACTCTGAAGGGCCCTTCAGAGGGTGATTTATCCCATTTGGAGCCCACCGAATGAGGTCTCCAGCGAGTAAAATTGAATGCTTCTGGATTTGTGGGTGTTTTCAAATTGGTGGGAGTTTCTAAATCATGGAATGAAAATGATCCAACCCAACCCTCAATATGATGTGAGCCAATCAGATAACTTAGTCAACAACGCTCCTCTATTTTAGTCTCTACTATCGCTCCGGTTACTCCCACTAATTAATTTCTCCCATATATTAGTCTTTCTGACACTCTTATGATCATCAATGACAACTGTGTGTTATGTCTATGTTATACATGGGCAGAACTTTACAATTTTAGTTTCCATACCATCAAGAGTTTATATGTGCTTTGAATCAGATTTGGAAAGGTTTAAAGGGATAGTTCACCTAAAAATGAAAAAATGCTTTATTAACAATTTATTCCCCCTCATGTGGTTCCAAAGTTTTATAAGTATCTTTTTTTTCCTGTTGAACACAAAAGAAAATATTTTAAGGAAACTCAGAAATAAGCAGCTGCTTACTTCCATAGTAGGAAAAACAAATACTATGAAAGTCAATAGTTTTGAAACTATTGAAACTAATCGTTTCGAAAAAAAAAATTGTATTAAACAACAAAAAAGAAACTCAATTACACTGTAAAAAATGCAGGGTTCCACACTATTCATTCATTGATTAAGTTAACTTAACAAACTGAAGTGGATTGAACATAAAACAATTAAGTTGTTCCCAAAAAATCTCAAGAATTGTGATTTTTCAGCTCATTTTAAATAAGTAGTTTGATTAAGCAGCAAAAATCTTGTTTTTGAGTGTAGGTTTGGAACAAGTTAAGGGTGAGTACATGATTACTGTTAGAATCTGAATGAAATTGTAAGCAGATTTGACCAATTCATTCAGATTGACATGATTTCATGTGATTATAAATTCGGCTTGAGCTGCTAGTTATTTGGGTACATGTAAAAGTGGAGGATGTGTGTATTAGCTGTTGGGCTGTTTGTAAACGTGTTTGTGTCTCTGACAGGGCGATTCAGGAGTCTCTGTCGTTGGCTGGAGGGGAGAGTGGAGAGTCAGACTCGGGCCCACCATTATCCCCATCTGATCCCGCTCTCAGTTCACCTCCATGTTACAGCTCTCTGACGGAGCCTCGGGCGCCCGGAGCGTTTGCTGTGGCCAGCAGTTTTGACGAACAGCTACGCCTCGCTATGGAGCTTTCATGCAGAGAACAAGAGGAGATAGACAGGTACAAATTATGATGAAACAGCAGAAGGATGTGAGCTCTGATTCCAAACTTGTAGCTGATGTCTAAATAGGCTTTCAATGGATTCCTGGCTAAAAAATTATTTTGCCTTGAAATTAGTGATTCGCCAATCTTCTGTTTTTTTTTCATGGGCAATTTAAATTGGTTCTGAACAAGGTTATTTTAGTAAATAAAACCTAAGACTAAAACTATTGGTCAAAAAAATTTTATTAACTAAAATGAAGTAAAAAAAATCATTAAAAAAAACCTGAAACAACTAACAAGAGTCAACAAAATAAAATGATAGATTGATTCGAAAAATATTTGATCAGAAAAAAATATTAGAAAAACAACAATCGATTTCAAAATTAATAATCACTCAATCTGTGGAGGATAATCTGACCTGCTGCTGTTTATAGAAACACCCGTATATGTGCTTTTGAGGGGTCTTAGAATTTTTTTTAAAAATGCTCGGAGATGAGCGTAGAGCGCTGCGAGCAGAGGGAGGAGTGGGCGTGGCCAGCAGAGCAGGGAAAAAAGACGGGAGCGAACAACTGTTGTCAGTTGGCTCACAAAATGAGAGACAAACCATGAGGAGACCCATAATTTTAAAGTTTACAAAGTTAAAATGCAAAGAAATAAACAGTAAGTAATTGAATGTCCTGCTACATGAGTTATTCTTAATTTCATATACACATAACCACAATTTGTTATATCATCATAAAGATACTCGTGTTTATATAAATACTATAAATGAAGAGGACTTCTCTCTTTCTCAATCTCCGGGTTTAAACGCAGACACCGTGGATAACCATTTGCCCTGCTGGTAATTTGGAGGATTTTAAAAATATGGAGAACAGTAGCATGGATATAGACAATGTGTCTGAATGGTAACGAACTCAACTGATAAAACACAAACTCTGCCATTTTCCAATTTCCAGCTCTCCTGACAAAAATTCTTGCTGCAAACCAACAGCTTTGCTGTATTGGCCCTGAGAGCATCGCAGAGAAAAACTTGCAACAAACCCAGTGAATCATGGAAACAAACACAACCTGTGCAGTGCGTGGACACGGTCTCACACAGTGGGTCTTACATCTTGGCAGGTCTGCCTTGCCTTTGGAAAGCACGTGCTCTCATGAATAATTAAGGGGCTACTCATACTATGCCATCCGTACCGTGCCCAGGTCCATTTCCCGGATCGTTTGAGAAGTGTGAGTGCGCTGAATCGGCCTCAAGCACGGTTCACTTGGCCGGCCCTGGCCCGGTTGGAAGAGGTGTGCCTGAGCGAGGTTCACTTGGGCTTTGTACGCTTGTGTGTGAGTGCAAAACGCACCAAAGCCCGAAACTGAAAGCGAGACGTGACTTTCGAAGGGCTGTTTCATATGGATTTATGAACGCAAACTGCCGTAATTTATTAAAGACGAGAACTCCTCACAGCACGACAGCTGCGCGGCTTCAGCAGACCTCCTCATTCCTGCAGCACGAGGGCTTTATGATTGTTTATGAGCGCCAAAAGTGGCGGATCTGTTCGGCGAAATATCTGACTGCGTGTCACAGCATCCCTAAGGACTGTTTGGCGAAATATTTGACTGCATGTCACTGCATAACAAACGACTGACACGATATAACTAGAGAAATCTCCACTGTGCTGCTGAGTCAGAGAGCGCTACTCACTGAACAGCGCAGCAGTGATGCCGTAAGCGTGCCGAGGCCCGTTTGTGGTCTGAGTGCGGGCCGTCGGGGGAGACGGGAGGGGGGACAAGCGTGCTTTGGCCCGGTTCGAGGCAACTGTACCTAGTGTGAGTATGGCCTAAGAAGCAGGGTCTTCTCATTGGATAAGAAAACTCTGACATGAACAATAATAAGAAACTGACGCGTCATCACTCCACTAGCAGATTCGCAATACGTCACTGATTTTGGTCCTGCCTCCAAAATTATTTTAATCCCGGAAGATGAAATTAGCTGACAAAAGCTCAAAGTTATCCAGTTGTCCCCACAATTAACTGGACATTACTAGAATTAACACTGGACATGTTCACAGTTTACTCAAACTAGAACCCCCCCACGGTTCCTCAGCACACCTCTAGTTTGAAAAAAGTCAGGAAAGTGGGTGTGTCTAGCTTTGTTTAGGTGGGAGTATCGAGTGGCGAAAGAGAGAAGGGTTTGCATTTTTTTCTCTATTTAAATCATGCAGTGGTGTGTGCTTTGTGAAATATTTCTCAAATTAAAGCAAAGAACAAAACTCCAATAGATTTTTTTTGGGACATAAAGTTTCTCAAAGACCTGAGTGAAATCACATTTTATTCAGCTTATGATGTTTCGTTTTTTACATATTTTTACACCACTGCATGGTTTAAATAGAGAAAAAATATTTTACAAATTAAAAAAAAAAAAGATTAGAACAGTTGATAGGTTTCCTCACTTTTAGCTTCTGTTTTGAATTTGTTTGAAAAATAATGTGAAATATAATATAAAAAAACTCATTTGTAACATACGATTCTCTCTCTTTTTTCCCTACAGGAAGAGAAGGGAAGAAGAGGAAGAGCTGGAGAGAATTTTACAGCTGTCTCTAACAGAGAAGTAACTCCAGTACTGCTACATGTGGGATTTAAAGGAATTATTTATTGGTTGTGTTATTATTTTATTTTCTGCAACGTTAAATTATTCTTTTTCGCTCTTCATTTCTTTTACAAAAATAATAAAGATGGGATAGAAAGAGAAACCAAGAGAGAGTGTGCACCAAGAACGGATTCAAAGAGCACGGCATGAAAACGTGAATGAGATGCTCTCGGTTCCGCTGTCTTCTGAGTGATGAAGGTCAGCTTCATTGTACAATGATACAGATGAAAATGTGAAAATTATTTATGGATACTGATGACTATGGTAATGCATAAAGTACTGAAAATACTATTGCATAAAATGAGTTTACTTATGATGGATGATAACTACATCTAAGTATTAAATGTTGCTCAAACACTTTCACAACAATGATCTCTGTTTTGAGATTTATTTCTGTGCATGTGCTCTTGAATTATATGTAAGAATGCGTGACTTACAGGAAAAGTGACTTAACAAAAGAACATCTCAGAGAATGTGATTTTTTTTCTACAAATTCAGACTGTAATACAGAGTTTCTATTATTATAGCAGCGTCCTGCTGTCATAATGTTATATAAGACAATTGAATCATCTCTTACATATGCAGTGAATCAAAAGTTACTTTTCAATGGGGATGAAGTTAAAGGGAAGTATCTATCTACACTTGCTCTGCACTTTATTAGGTACATCTTACTAGTACTGGGTTGGACCCACTTTTGCCTTCAGAACTGCCCTAATTCTTCATAGCATAGATTTAACAAGGTACTGGAAAAATTCACACAGTTGCTGCAGATTTTCCGGCTGCACATCCATGGTGCAAATCTCCTGTTCTACCACATCCCAAAGGTGCTCTATTAGACTGTGTTCATGTGACTGTGGAGGCCATTTGAGTACTGTAAACTCATTGTCATGTTCAAGAAACCAGTCTGAGATGATTCACGCTTTATGACATGGTGGGTGTGTTATCCTGCTGGAAGTAGCCATCAGAAGCTGAGTACTCAGTGGTCATAAAGGGATGGACATGGTCAGCAACAACACTCAGGAGTGGCACCCGGTGTGGTCTTCTGCTGCTGTAGTTCTCGGGCCTCAAGGTTGGACATGTTGTGCGTTCAGAGATGCTCTTCTGCATACCTCGGTTGTAATGAGTATTTATTTGAGATCTGTTGTCTTTCTATAAGCTGGAGCCAGTCTGGCCATTCTCCTCTGACCTCTGGCATCAACAAGGCATTTGCGACCACAGAACTGCCGTTCACTGGATATTTTCTCTTTCTCAGACCATTCTCTGTTAACCTTAGTGATGGTTTTGTGTGAAAATCCCAATAGATGAGCAGTTTCTGAAATACTCAGACCAACCTGTCTGGCACCAGCAACCATACAATTTTTAAAGTCCCTTAAACCACCTTTCTTCTCCATTCTGATGCTAAGTCTAAACTGCAGCAGATTGTCTTGACTATGTCTACGTGCCTAAATGCATTGAGTTGCTGCCATGTGATTGGCTGATTAGAAATGTGCATTACTAAGCAGTTGGAGAGGTGTACCTAATAAAGTGGCCAGTCTATCTATCTATCTATCTATCTATCTATCTATCTGTCTGTCTGTCTGTCTGTCTGTCTGTCTGTCTGTCTGTCTATCTATCTATCTATCTGTCTACAGTATCTATCTATCTGTCTACAGTATCTATCTATCTATCTCTATCTATCTCTATCTATCTATCTATCTATCTATCTATCTATCTATCTATCTATCTATCTATCTATCTATCTATCTATCTATCTATCTATCTATCTATCTATCTATCTATCTATCTATCTATCTATCTATCTATCTATCTATCTATCTATCTATCTATCTATCTATCTATCGTGCTGGATAATTTGGCCATTCATTCCGCTGTGGCGACCCCGGATTAAAAAAGGGACTAAGCCGACAAGAAAATCAATGAATGAATTGCTTTACCTGTGTTTGCTGTGTGATGGGCTTCATCATTGTCCTGCTGTGTAGTTGAGTAGGTGAACTGAGGGGAAGAAGCACATGTTGCTGAAGGAGCTCCTGGTGAACATTTGTGTTCTCTTGGCATTTCATTTTATTAGAGATTCAAGTCCTGCTGAACAAAAGAATCTCCAAACCACCGCTCTTCACCTCCACTTTTTACTGACTTTAATGCAGACACTTTGGCTTCAGTCTTTCCCCAGTTTGATGCTTCCCAGCAGACCCAAAAAAATTAACTTCCTTTCATCATCAAAGTAAACTCTGGGCCAGTTCTCTGTCTACACAACCTGCTCCTCAGCAAATGTTGGTGTAGTCTTTTGATTTGGTTTGGTCACTGCAGAGTAAACATTCGATCCACTTGTTTTAAGTGTCGAGACACTGAATGAGACACATCTTTACACTGTTCAGTGCTGAACTGATAATCAATTCCAGCTACAGCCTTGAATTGATAAGGTTTTCTGCATTGTTCTGTCCTTTCATGCATGTTTGTCTTTCATGGACGACCAGCCTTTTTGAGCGACATAATGGAGATCAGTGGCATTTTAACCCTCAAGAGTCCATAAGCATATACATTAATTCACCCATTAATTAATTAATTCATTTTCCTTCAACCTAGTCTCTTAATTTCAGGGGTCGCCACAGAGGAATGAACCACCAACTAAGGACATTTTTGGAAAAATCATTTTATTTTAATTGTTTTTTAATAGTTTCCTTAACCTGAGCAGTTCAGTTTTTCTAACTTTACCATCTGAACACAAACTCAAATCAACAATGTTAAGCAGCAGAAAAAATCCTTAATCATTCCCAAAAATGGGAACTCATACGTAATGAATGGGAAATAAAAAATTCTAAGCATTTTATTTTTATTTGTCCAATAAAATCAAATAAATCTATCACAATGGCGATCAATCATGTACCTAAATGAGGTCTGAGTCTATACAATTTTCAAACCTCAATATAAGAAACATTCAGTGACAGACACAAAAAACAGCCCCTGTCCCTTATAAATATTTTGTTACTTTTATGACTTGATGTCACCAAGTTTAAGTTTAGGTTGGTCTGAACTGACTGCAGTGATATTTTTGCTAAAGAGATATTATCTATGACATAAAGAATAAGCATATTTTTACATAAACATCCAATTTTAAAAAATGGTTAAATTTTTTTTAAATAGTTTATTTTATCTGAATAGTTCAAGACATGGCTAGGTTTTATAAGTTTGCCACTTGAGCAAACAAAACAAGAGGACATTATTCAACACAGTTTTCTTTAGGTCCTGCATAACTCATCCCATAGAATATTAATGAGGAATACTACAATTAAAAGCATTTTTAAATTGTACTTTTAGAGGGTAAAAATAAATACTTGTCACTGAATAATTGATGACCAAATTTAAGCACACAGACTTACATACAGGCAGTTTGCCAGCATAAATGGCACCGGAACTGCATAAAAACGAATTTCACAACCACAGCTCAATATAAAAGCTGAATAGCCACTAAATGACCACGTGTCAAGTGTAGAGTGCGACACATCTTACTCATCTGTTCGCTGTGTTTGTCAAGTACATCCAAATTAATCGGATGTATGTTGAATTTAAACCGAGCGAGCTCAGTCTCAATTTCCCGCTTGAGGTACCGCAGACCGGCCTGCGGGAGGCGCTCGTCCGCGCGGAGCTCATGTTTGCACTCTGAATATTCGCTCTTTCACAGCACGTTGTCTGTGCGGCCTCGACTTCCTTTTCTGTGCAGATTTCATGGCGAGTGATAGCGGAGAAGAGTTGATTCACCTACCGTGACCACACTGACCCGCACATCAACCTCCAGAGACGCCTTTTTGTCGGGTGAGTGGGGCGCGTTACTCCGTTTCTGGGTCATATTTGACACATTACTCACATCGGAGTCTCGATTGTGTGCGCTAAGAGACTGCTATGTGTTATTATTACTGTGTACCTCTCATACTATGTGTATGTGTGAGTGTGTTTAATGTTTGGTAGCTCAGTTAGCAACCACAGTCAAAGCGCCTTTCTCAGTGCGTATTTTACAGCAAGTAGAGCAACGATGCTAACGACGAATATAGTTATAATTCCCACTTTAAAACAAAAATAAGTTCATAAGACTTCCGTGAACTGTTTTGTCCACTTGTTTTGGGGTTAATTGTGTAGTCAGTTGCATTGTGTCTTGCTGCATCTGCTAATTAGCTAGCGCAAGGCTAACTGAATAACTTGCAGCGAGCGGGCGACGCGACAAAACTAGGACGCTTCCGTTTTAATTGACCGAAAATGCAGTTTTGTGGCGATTAACGTGAGTATTTGAGTCCGCAACCGTTGATCTGGCGCTCGCCGAGTGTCCGCGCGCGGAGTCCAGCGGTCCCGCGATCATTCCCGGCGGAGAGACGCGGCGATAGCGATATCCTCGCAGGATTCATCAATATTTCACTTAATTTAACTTAGTTTTCCTGCGCTGGACTACACAACACAACCACAGAGATGTTTAGAAAGAAAATAGATGAAGAAGTTTTAACTTTGTGATTCTTTACTTGTCTCATACTTCAAATAAGCCATCAAAACGTACCTACTAAACAGTACTGTTTATTAAACACGTTTATCTGCCTCCTCTGATTGTTTTATTTGGATATCTAATGGTGCAAAATGTAACTGGAGTGGTTTTAAAAACTTGTTTTAAACGGTCGTTTGGAGTGTTTGAGGCGCTACAACATCAATGCATGTGAAATGGGCGTTATTTCTATTGCGAGCACACAAGACTTACAATTTCGTGTATTAAGAAAAAGTATTTAAATGTCTGTGCATTCTTTTGATTTTGACTTAATTCCATCTTCATGGTCTGTTCTCTGTCATAAATAATGTTTAATTTCCCCCTTCAGCTGCCATTGTAAAGACTGTGACGTCAGCAGAGTGGTTGATTGGCTTTGACATCATCAAGTAGGTGGTTGCATTATTATTATTATTATTATTATTATTTTCAGTCATCTCTATTTTTACAAATCTGTCATATATGTGGGTGAACGAGCCTCACAGTGTAACTTCACAAACAGGTAGTTGTGTGTTACACCAGATGAAAATGTGCATGTTATTTTTACATGATTATTAGATCAGAGTAGGCATGGGCTGATATAAGATTCTGACGGTATGATAAGTTTGACGGTATTTTGATTACTGCTATAAAATATATTCTTTTTAAATGTCTGGGTAAAAAACTACTTTTTCCACTTTTTTATATTAGAAAACATTTACAATATTTTGGAGCAGTAAACATGTCGGGCTAAATCAAATGAATCATTGACTTCTGCTGTCTTCATTAGTTTCCAGAACACAGATTCCAATACAATTCACAGGGTTTATTCGATCTTTGAAAAACCTGGAGAAGTCATGGAATTTTGACATGGCATTTTCCAGGCCTGGAGAAGTTTTGGAAAAACAGAAAAACCCACAAAGTTTTGAAAAAGTCATGGAAAACAAATATCTGTATTCTTGAATATAGGTTATTTGTCTTGACTTCTATTCTGTCCTTGGCCAATCACATACTCTCACATTATTAGTGCGGTGTAAGCATTATCTAAATCAATTTTACATGTTTATAAATGTAAATTCAAACTAAATAGATTGCTGCATGTTTTACAATGTGCTGTAATAAATTTAAATTTAAACATGCATTGTTTTTCTTTTACCACACATATGATACATTGCATGAAACCTTAGGTCATAAAAATTTACTTTAAAGTCTTGAGAAAATCGTGGAAAAGTCATGAAATTTTAGTTGTATGAACCCTGAATTTAAAACGGCATCTTGGATCCGATTTCTGCTTGAGACACTGTCTTCCTAAAAAACTTAAAACAAAGCATAAAAAAACAAAGTATTTATACACCATAGGAACGATAAAGCAGAACATTTTGTTATTTAAAAAATCTTGACTTTTTCAAACTGTTGTATATCTTGAAAAAGGTTATCCAATGCCTTTTCCTATTCTTAACATGTGAATTTAATCTTTACAGATATTTTAAGGATTTTGGTGGTTTCTTGACTGAACAGTCTTGTCGCGTTGTGGACGTAGCTGGTCTTATCAAAGAACTGCCAGTCGATGGCTCTGATGGACAAACACAAAGTGAAGCGGCAGAGATTGGACCGCATCTGTGAAGGTAAGATGCAACCTTATTAAACAGATAAAATGGTAGACTTTTACCTGCACACATCTCCTTGGTCTTGTTTGTGCATGATGTTAAGATGTATTTTTATTGATCGCAAGTGCTTATGAATATAGGCTCGAATGGTGTGTGAAATATTTTTAGCTTGTCCTCTTTTGACCACAGTGAATGTGTTCAAGTAGTCTCTAAAAACCACCTTCTCTCTAACTACATATTTATTTCTGAATCTGGTGTTCAAGCAGGTTTTTAAACTTATTGTCAGAAATTGAAAGCTTATTTTGAAAGCAGAAAAGCATCATGTTAACAGTTCTGGTTTTTTTTAAACGAAATGAACTCTCTTAAGGACTTTCTTAGCAAAGTGACAATTCTTTAAAATTTTTATTATTTATTAGCGTTAAAAATCTTATTTAATTGATGTATTCATTTGTTTGTTGATTTTTATTTGGATATTTTTTTATTGAAATGTTCTTGCTATGAAAAATAGCCTTGGTTGCTGACATGTCAATAAAAAAAAGCACACATGAAATTTGGCATTTAAATTGAATGTAGTTCAATAGTAGAAAAAAATGTTCAATTCATGTTTATTTGTATAGCGCTTTTACAATGTAGAGTGTCAAAGTAGCTTAACATACAAGTTCTAGTAAACTGAAACTGTCAGTCTTTAGAGTTGAAGTTCAGTTCAGTTTAGTTCAGTTCAATGAAGTTTAATTTTCACTGCTGAAAGTCCAAACACTGAAGAACAAATCCATCGATGTATTAATGATTATTGCTCACATGATTTAATGTGATATGTTAAATATATTTACTCGTTAATTATTTACTTATAGTTTACTGTTCATTCTCCTGTCAGGCTTGCTCTTTTTTGATCACAACTTTTGTGTGGAAAGTGGCACACAAATTTCTCGCCCTGTTTTGTACATCACATTTCTAAGTGAGACCCCTGATTATAACACATACACAATGTGTGTGCAGTTGAGGCTATACAAGCATGTCAAAAACATATGTCTTTACTAGGCCCACATGGAATCTGCACATGCAGAAATTTGCAGATTTACACAGGTTTTTAGCCCATTATTTAAGTATATTTATTTACTTGTGTTAGTGTGTAAATTTATATTTATTCTGTTATTTTAAATGAGTTTGATTAATATTATTAACAAATCTGAAAATGTTCATATATTTGATTTACAATACAGTTTCTAAAGTCTTTTACTAGATATTTGAGACTTGCTTTGTTTGCCAAATAAGTGGATTTAATTAGATTTGCATTGTAAAAATTAAGTAAAAAATACATATTTTTTTATTTCATATATTTAGTTTTTAGTTGCGACACTCCCAAAAGCATTCTGTATAAATTCACAGTTTTTCTTTCAAAAGTCAAAAGTTTAATTGAAAGATCTTAGTACACCTGTCTGTAGACCCTCCATTGAAGAAAAGGAAAGGTGGTTGGAAGTGTTTAAAACACTAGGTGTAAACATGAATGTTATTTGTGGTATATTATATTGGGGTATACAACAATACAATATGGTATTGTATTGTAAATGGGGCATTATTGCCAGAATGAAATGAAATTTGCATGTGCTGTATGGCCATATTTGAAATTTGATATTTCAAGCAAAGAAATTATTTGATCCTTTATTTTATCTGCAATTAATTGGATCAGCAAACCCGGCAACTGCTGGTTAATTAATAGATTATTAATTATTTATTTGTGATAAAAGACTTTGCCATTGGTACATTGTGCACCACTGAATCATTCACTGTTTGATCAAGTAGTCTAAATGGACCCATGTTTACTTAAGTTTCACTTAAAGTGGTGATTTGTACACATTAATCAGATGCAAAGGCCTGAAGCATTTTGTTTTTAGTTGAACTGTCAGTCTTGGATTTGTTATTGTAATTAGAGAGATTTGTATTTGATTAAATTTTTTTTTCCTCAAGTGTTTTTTTATTGAACATGTTAGAAATGAAACATGCGGTACAATATAAAATTATTATAAATAATAATATTAAGTAAAACATATTTATTTTACTCTTTTTATATAAAAGAAAAGGGAAAGAGAAAATAATAAAAAATGTCAAGGAAAGGTTTTACTCTTCTAAAATAACTGAAGTGTCCATTTTCTTTATGTGGTTTTAAACATGTTGCCTAGCTAGAAAAAACACATCAGTACAACCTCTTAAAGTATATTGTATTATCTTTTATTGAAACATAAGGACTGTGGCGCAATACCAAATATTGAAATTATGGCTTCAGGTTCTATTTAGGTATTTAATGCGTCAGAGAAAATTTTAAAAATTAGCTTCCAGAAATTCTTTAATTTTGAACAAAGCCAGAACGTATGAGAGTGTGGCTGGCTCAATATTACATCGGTCACAATTGGGCTCTACATTTGGTTAAATTTGGCTAGTTTCACCTTATACCAATGTAATCTGTGTACTATAAATTGTATAACTATTTTTATCTGTCCTCTGATGATTCTATCTCCAGTTCCACCTCCTATTTTTTATTGCACTAAGGGTTCCAGATTTGAGGAATTACAGAATGATTTAATTTACAATTATGACAGTTTTAGACCTATTGACGTTGACTGTAAAGGTAGAAATAAGAACTTTAAATCATAAAAAGTCTCATCGCAACTATACTGATAAAACAGAATCTTTTACATTAAGTTTTTCACTTATGAACCGCTCATATAAACTGTCAGAATCCATCCTGCTTTAAAGGGCTGAAGTGTTTGAATTGACTGGCTGATAGATGGACTGTTTGGCTGTTAATTGAATGATTCTTGTTGTTGACGCAGGTAGTGAAGTTTGAGCTCTGTTGTCATGTTATTTTCCCCTCAGTGCAGGGAAATTGCTTACACTAAAGCCGGTGCCTATTTTTGCATTATTGTATGGATCGTTGCTGCTGAATGAACCTAACTCTTGTCCAACTTAATGAAATCAAGGCAAAGCTTGTTCTCATTAGATTTACAGAATATTCTCTCATCTGCTCTTTTAGAGGAGTGTAATAATCACATTAAAGGGAGCAGACTGTATGTTAATGAATCAGCATGCTGTATATTGTAGCCCCCTTTTATGTTTTTGGCTCCGCATCAAAGAGGTCATGTAGATGTTATTGATTTTTAAATATGCCAAGTCAAATTATAATGGATACCAATTTATGGTCACTGTGTTGTGAAGCAGTTCTGTGATTGGCGTTTTGAAATGTGCAGTTAGGCCTGCTTGTTTGTGAGAAATCATAATCATGATTATTTTGCTCTATATTGTAATGACAATTAATTTAAAGGGTTATGGTCAATATGAGTTGTATGTAACGTATATTCAATAGGGTTGCAATCACAGATATTTGTTTTTGTTGTTATAAAACAGCAGGATTGGTAAATGACAGTATATAGAAAGTCCTCAGTTATTACAGTTATGAAGCTACAAATGTCCTTTAGTCAAGATCAGGTGAGTGATTTTGTCTTGTTATTTGGTTGGTAATGAGCTAGGTCGGCAGTAGCTATATAGCAACTTTAAGATCTGATTTACTGTTACACATGCATTTTCAATCTCAACACTTTGTTTTCATTGATTACATAACACATGAGTTTTTGAATAATCACCAAGCGTCACATTTTGACTCATTTTTGCATGTTTGATCATTTAGGCACTAGAGCTGCACGATTCTGGCTAAAATGAGAATCACATTTTTTTTTTTTTTAACTTTAAAATAAACATCACGATTCTGTAGATGTAAAATAAAGCTTAATATGAGATTATTGTGTTTTTCTCAAACATATGAAAAAACAACAATATTAATATTATGCGTAGGTCTACGGGTTTCTATAAATAATTATATTCTACTTATAATAATTCTGATGTTTAATTATGTTTGAGATATAGCCCTATGCTTGCAATCTGTCATTGAGAACATTATTAGACCATTTAATTCAATGGTAAAATCAACATTATATAGGCTAGAGTAGTTATACTGACACTGTAAAAATTTATTTTTATACACAACTTTGTGTTCGCTGTGAAAGAAAAAACTTCGCAATCATAACTTTAAAATGCAATATGATTTTTAAATATGTGCAGGTTTTTGGTTTCATTTTCATGGCTAAGTGCTGTTCATACTTACGCGCTACTCTTAAACAATCACTTTGTGCCACAGACTGAATATTATTTACAAGTTTATTACCTGTTACTCATGTGAGTTCAGCATATGCGGGTTCTGTTCACTAAAGTAGACGCGTGCGCGTCTATCATTAAGTAAGGCGCGCGCCTGCACACAGTCAGCAGCTCATGTCACGTGTGATTTCCCGGCCGCGAATAAATCATTATATGAAGACAAAAATGAAATTTTTTGGGGTGAATTATACCTTACAAATACAGTATGTGACTCTTTTAACTTGATTTGAAGGTTTCCATGTCACTGAACAACGTGTGTGAAACAATGAAATGACACATGAAGCCGCCTTTTCTTCTCTCCTGAACTTGAAAATATGATTGGCAGTATCGTAGAAATGCTGGATTAAGATCGTCAAGGGGGTCGAATCGAGATCGCGATCTTTTTTTTTCGATTAATTGTGCAGCTCTATTAGGCACACATCTTAAACAAAAGACAGGGTATCTGGATGGTCTTGAAGTCTTAAATATCAAAAAATAATTTAGACTATAAAGTCTTAAATCCACTGAAATATTGTTGTAGGTCTTAAATCATTTTAAACAGGTCCTAATTTTCCTGTTCATGTAAAGCTAGACCAGATTGGGCCAATGCCCATCAAATCACAAACAATACATTTCAATAATTAAAAAAAAACATTTATTTATTGACTCTTATTTATGTAGTTTAATCATCTTCCTTATAATAATTTCTTTCTTTTAAGGTTTTAACTTGCAATCTTTAGTGTTTAGCCTTGTGCAAGTCTGAAATTTAAAATTGGTCTTAAAATTGTCTTAAATTAAAGTCTTAAATTAAGTCTTAAATTTGACTTGATTAAACC